GAGAGAGAGAGAGAGAGAGAGAGAGACACTAAACAGACTGTCAACTGCCCAAAATGTGGACTTGGTCCCTGCACTGGATCAAATAACATATAAGCTGCCCTTTAATGAAGTAACAAAAGAAATGGATCGTCGTATACTTATTTAGGTAAATGTAGGAGTTTGTTACAACTAATGGGGAAAAGATCAGACATTCTTCACGAATGTACGAACTTATAACTCGCAAAAAGATTTGTGTAAATAATCAAGCTTTGGGAAGTCAAGAGTGTCTGACCTCCTCCTCCATATCTGGGGAGAGTATGGCAGCCTACAGACAAGGTTTGACGATGTGCAGACCTGTAATAAGAGATCACAAACTTGCAGCAACAAGCAGCAGACCTGCCGGAGCAGGACTTGCTAGTGAAGCAGAAGGTTTCTGATCTGCCTGCACTAACTAATGCCCGTTACACTCTCGGATTACTGCTCCTCTAGCTGCAAACACTGTCACCCCTCCGCTTGTGCCTTTCTCCAGACAAGTTGTTGCCGCTGCCACTGATCCATCAGCAAGTATTCTTAGCCAGTACTGCAGCAAGGCCGACATTTGACCCCAAAATGATGAAGGCGCCTAAAAAGTTCACATGCAAACAATGTATAGCCACTTGCTTGGGAGAGGCCATCCTGCATGTTGACTTGTCCATGGTGCCCGCCGATGGGCAGTCTATGCTGCTATCGACACTACTTGACAGACCAGTCAATGACTGGCTTCAGGGGTAGGGGGTGGCAGCTTCAAATATGAAGTCCAGTTTTTCTCAAACTAAAACTGCAGAAGACTGCGCCTCATGTCTCAGCGCTTACGAACATATGCTTGCTGATTTTGAGTCACACAAGCTCACTGCGCGTGAGTGTGGATCACATTGTTCACTTTCTGCACGGGTGATGTCTTCAATTCCCCCCTCTGAGCCTACAGTAGCTGTAAAAATGCTGTCTGGGTCGAAGTCCTAGTTTGTGTGCTAACTCTGTTGGCCGTGCTGTGTCTGTGCCTTGGACAATGGTAGGACAGGTAATAAGGGTAGGATCAGGGACAGGGCGGCCAGGGACATAAATGTAATTTCTTAGGGACCTGGAAGGTATTTTTTATAGGGTCGGGTAGGCCTAGCAAGGTCTGGTAGCTGTCTCGTATGTTGTGATGGCCCAGGGACTGAGTATAGTTAGTTTTAGAGATAGATTCACGTCTTGAAGGTAGATATCTGTCTGCAGTCGTGTCCCTGCAAAAAGCAGAAACAACCGGTAAGCCTTGTGCACCCAAGGGAGGCTGGGTAGAGGAAGTAAGTGCCCGACTGAGAGATACTGGAGGCCAGGCAGCAAGAGGATATCATTCGGTGCAATGAGTCGTCTGCTCATTCGCCCGACAGTCATGTTGCTGCACCTCCTAGAGGGAGAGTGAGGCAGAGCGCTTGTTGGGTGAACGAGGTGCTGAGGGCGAGGAAGAAGACCTCCATGGTGGTGGAGGGAGGGAGGAGAGGTGGGGGGGGGGGGGGGGGGGGGGGGGGGGGGGGGGGGGGGGGGGGCAGAAAAAAGAGGATTGGTTGGTGGGGGGGGGGGGGGGGGGGGGGGGGGGGGGGGGGGGGGGGGGGGGGGGGGGGGGGGGGGGGGGGGGGGGGGGGGGGGGGGTGGTGTTGTAGAAGAAGGCCTAGGCTATGGAGGTAGAGGGAGAAGATGGTCCAGCATAAACTTACTTTGGCTATGGTCGAGCTTCATCTTCGTCTTCCTGGTTGTTGCTGCATCAAGAAGCCCCCTGCTGGGGTAGCTGTTGAACATGGACCTCATCCGGAGGTTGGCTAGCTATCGTGGCAGAGGAGAGAAAAGGCATGCCGGTAGTTGTGTTGTCTGGTGAGCAACTGTGCTAGGCATGGATGAGCCACCATAGCCAGTAGCCAATGAATTGATGATGAGAGGGAAAACAGGCCAAAGGAGATTCTTTCTACCCTTGAAGATTATCCGGTATTGTTCGGACATTGATTCTTGATCATTCATTCATCATTATGTGAGGATTGAGGCCCGTGCGTGTAGGTAGTCAGGCAGTTAGTCCCTAAATCGGGCCTCCGGCCAGGCCAACAACGCGATCTGGTAGAAACCAGCCTGGTAGGCAGTTACTGCCGGGCAAGGAAGATCCCGACCTGAGAAGACAAAGGATTTGGCCAGGGCACAGGGCACACATTCTGACTGGGCACTTGCTGGCTTCAGTGCTGGCAGTCTAGGTGCGTCTAGCATTGAGGTCCTGTGCTCTGGAGACCAGTGGGAGTGCAATTTGCCGCAGAGGAAGGAGGGCACCATAGCAGAGATGTGCTGCGCTTGACGAAGAAGGATGGCAAGGCGATAAGGAGTTCATGGGTTGGTGGGGAAGGCTGTGAGAGGAGGTGGACGGTTACCTGGTGGTCGCTGACAGAGCTCCAGTTTGGCCGGACGCTTCAGCGATCGTCAGCATAAGTAGGGATATAGCTCAGTGGATGGTAGGTGATAGGCTAGACTAGAAGCAGTATAGACGAACACACCTGAGTGGAGGACTACTACCCTGTTGTTGTACTGATTGGAGGTGAGAAGAGGGCTCTCATTATCAAGAGACTTCACTTTGTTCTGTGTCTTGCATTGGTGTGATCTCATCCTTGTCAATTCTGTTTTCCGTTCGGTCAATTCATGCATGCTCTTCAATGAGGGCGCGGTGGTCAGAATTTTTTGTGTTCTCATTCCTTGCAACTATTGTAAAATTCGTTATGAAACCACCAGTACTTCCGAGCCACGTTTGCGCGGGCCTCCAACACCCTGCGTGCCAGTGTTGCACACCCCGACCATCGGCGGCCCTTGACTGGTCGGCTGCCTACCCGGCGACCAGTCTTGGGGGTCGTCGGCACCCGGCAACAAACCCCTAATAACCCCACCAACACCCCCATACCCACCCCAAATACCCCCATACACCTCCCCAACACCCCCAAAGCCCGCCCCCCCAACACTCTCATCCCCCTGCAATGACTTGCTGGTTCCAGGTTGCCTGTAGCCTCTCTCAGACGAGGCTGTACCATAGGTAGGGACAGATTCGTAATTTTGTTTAGCTGAGGGCTAACCGAGAGACCTACCTGTAAGGAAAATTCGTGAGGGACATATTTGTAAATATAGGAGATATGGGCCCAGTACTAACTCGAATTTCCTACAGTTACCCTAACTGTGAATAGCAGACCCGGGCTACCCCTAGGACAGACAGGCCCAATGGGCCTACGCTGATAGATGGTCCTAGAGCCTATAGCCGGGTAGGGAGAGGCCCTAGAGGCCGAAACAGAAACGGTACCGGTCGTCAGTCAGTCCGGTCTAGGTCGTGTCTAGGCTAGTCTAGGGTATAGATAGGATGGGGACATCAGTCCTGGGCTTTTGGCAGTTGACACTTCGTGGTGGAAGTGGCTGCGCACACGGTGTCAGGTCGTGGTTGCTGATTCCGGTGGTGGAGACGGCGGACATAGCCAGACCTACGGAGCGCTGACCAGACTGGGGTCAAAGCTGTCCGCTCTGACTCTCTGGGAGTCAAAGCGGTCTGGGCTATCAGAGGTCTGATGCGTTGGAGCACATGGTGCACTGCTGACCCTCCTCAAGAGTAGGGTCCCAGTGGCGATGCAGCCATAGCTGCATCTTCTCAGAGGATATCATTGTCTGGACTCCATCTTCATCAGGGACTGTTGGCGCTGAGCTTCTTCTTCATCATCTAGGTGGCGATTGGCTCTGGGAGCCTGTTTCATCTTGGTGCAGGTCACTGAGTTGGATGTCAGGGTGGCGCTGGGTGTTACCTGGGGTTCTGGTGCTATTTTTAGCTGCTC